ATACTTGCTGCCTTGTTATTAATATATTATAGGCTACATTGTTTAGATGGTAATGTAACTTTGTAAACGATGTTTGAGCAACAACAAAAACAAAAACAAAACAAAAATGATGCCCCCTATTTAAAATCTTGCATATTTAATTGAAAAAACGTGACGCCACAATATGCCTTGGAGCATTGATACTCAAAAGTCAAGAATTTAAATGTTTTTTTTTTTTTTTAACCATCGATCTACACGGTTATTTACGGATTCAGATTACGTCCTATCGTAAACATTTCGAATTTTTCTTTTATTGCTACTTCTGTTTTTGTGCGTGCGCGTGCGTGTGTGTGTTCCTCGCCAAACTGACAATCCTGGAACGAACGGGGAAACAAATTTAATAATCATTCAGCATACCAATTGTAATATTAAGAACACTAACAATTTCATTAAATATTCCAAAGTTTATATGACTTTGGAATTCATATGTAATAAATACTATTTCAGTTCCTCATATTTTATCAAATATTTTTAATACCGAAGTTTTATAACAGTTGTCATGGTAGCTATTTAGTGTTAAAATTTTTAAATTAATGTGCGCTAGGGATATTTATAGAGTAAAGATGATATTTGAAGAAGATTAAAATGACGTTTTTGAAATTAAATGTATGCTTAAGAAGGAATTCTATTTCAATTGCCAGGACGAGAAAACTTAAAAAAAAAAAAGAAAATGTCTACACACAATATTAAGTAACTGCCGTCATGTAAACTTATTTTTATGTAATGCATAATTAAAGAGTCACGATCATATTATATTGCTAATGCCAGTTTAACAAAGCTCGGAAATGATAAATAACTAGTTTTACGATACACATGGCTGAGATAGCAATTAATTTCTATTGCATTTAATCGAAAGACTGGAAAAACTGAAGGGTATTTTAAGTGAACTATTTACGGATAAATTATAGTTCATTGACTGATTGTTGAAGTAACGCTAAAGTTTTATCGAGCAAACGGATACGATAATTTCAGTTGCATTTGTAAGTTAAATTCCGAATCAAAAAGTATTTGTTGATTTTGCGTACTCTAGTTACATTTTGCAAATATAAAACAAGAATAATAAGAATGTATAACTAAAGTTACTCTCATTGCGTCCTAGTTCATTTGTATTATACATTTGAATTGTGGATGAGCCTTGATTTTCGTGTTCCTACAGAATTAATATGTTGGTAATAGTGATCTGAAAGTAAGTTAACGACTCGACTAGCCGAGGCGTACGTTTTGTTGTGTTTTTCTTAAATAAGAAAATTTTGTGCCAATTAGTTTATTTGAATTGTAAATTTCTCTCTCTCTCTCTCTCTCTCTCTCATATATATATATATATATATATATATATAGAAAATGTATATCGGGCTAAATGTACATTGCTTTTTATTTTATTCAAATTTTCATCTCATTCTTATGTGATGCTGCCAATTTTTATTTTAAATGACTTTCTTCTTATATAAAACTTTAATTTAAAGTAGCAGTTTTAAACATTATGGTGCCTGTTCTGAAATCAAAGTCAAATGAAAAATCCTCAATTTTAGCGTCTTCCATAATGTGACTGGAATTGCCGTTTTACTCTATTTTGTCATTTTGAAGTACTGAATGCCCAATGCCAAAAACATTCGATTTGATAAAAAGTCTCTTATTGCAGAAATTTTTATACTTCATTAATTGAAGTACTTAATAATCAAACTAACTTTAATGTAATAATCATTAGCATATTTTATTATTTTATTATTTTTATATTCACTTATTACGCCTCAAGCGTATTTATATAATATACATATATTGATTATCTGTATTTATGTATAAGTTATAACATTTTCTTTTATTAATATTAAGCGCTTTATGCAACAAAGCATACATAATAGTTAACACGTACATAAGACTTTAATCATTGTTAATAACAAGTTTTCGTAAATAACTTTTAAGTGTCGTTTATTAATAATCGAAAATCATGTTTACAATTTTATTCTCTACTTATGTTTAAGTAACGGGGGAAATAAAAACTACGAAAAAAATAAATAAATAAATAAAATAATTCATCGCCAATTGTGAAAAATTCTAACAGTCTGTATATAAGGAAGTTTAGTTTTAATCTGTAATATAATAAGATCCTAATACTCACTTTGTTCTAATAGAGTTCTAAAAGATCCTAATACAATATTCGTTTATGTATATATTGCAATCCTACATATTATTTTAAATAGCTCAAGTTATAAAAGTATGTATTTATCTGTTTGTTATCGTCCTTGTTTTTTGTTTTTTTTTTTTGTTTTTTTTTTTGTTCTTGTAATTTAAATACACTTTTTAACAATTAAATTTGATCAAATATTTGAAATTTCAAAATTTTTTTATACTTTTCGACACAAAATGTTTAAAAGTAAACAATCAAGGAAATGTGTTTTAAAATTATAAATTTGTCAAATTTATAAATTATATATATAGTGTAACTACTCGAATTAATATATATATATATATATATATATATATATATATATATATATATTAAGAATCCATTGAAAAATTTGAATAGATATTCTTATTTACAGTCATGGAACAAGATAAAGAAGTATTTTTACATCTTGACTTATTTGAAAATCAGTAACTTAGCAGTAAAATTACTTTGCGCGTATGGCCGACTAAACGATTTATAATGTTAACAATAATTGTTTCTATTGAATTGTTTCGTAAAAAGTAATTTGAAAATTCGTCCATTGAAACTATCGAGCTTTTGTAAATGTGAATCGTTTTAACGTTATGCTGTATCGCAATGAAAGGCGAATTAAAGTAATTTGAAAAAATGTTTAATTCATTGTAATTGATTGTGTACGAGGGTAGTGAAGCGTCGGTCTATGTTTAATCGTGACTTTAACTTTTTTTTTTATTGCTTTGCAGTTTATTGCAAATATTTTTCGAAATAACTTACTCCATATGCAAGTGTCGAAGTGCCTATAAATGCTTACGAGTGTATTAAAAAATTGAATAAATGTCGAACAATATACTCTGATAATTTTTACTTGTATATATAGCCTTTGTAAATAATATATATATATTAATTATAAAAAAAAAAAAACATTCCGGTATTTATTTAGTTTTGTAAATATTCACTCGCACCGACATATGTACATGGGGAATGAGCTTTTTCGAAAATTGTAATAAAAGGCTTTGCTCGCGGTCGAAAATGAATTTTTTCAATTAATTTTCATGCCAATTAGTATCATAGTAGAATTGTGTGAATTCGTGTCTTTTATCATAATAAAATTTTCATCAAATTCTTTCAAAGAACTCCGATGTTTAAAAGTTTGACAACAAGAAAATTTTGGATCAAAACCAACCTTGGTACTCCATCAGGTACCCTAGTCCTAGAACAAGACTTACATTACCAAGTCCAGTCAAGTTTTCTATTGATTCAAATGTCCCAGTAAAATTACTTAGTGTGAGTTAACAACACACAATACAAATCATTATTATTGCCTTAAACGAGTTAAAATTTTTCTAAATCGGTTGCTCTTGTTACAACAAGTAGGATACGTTGCCACCTAAATCACCTAATTATTTAGAGTCGTTACTTTCCATTATCCTTTACTCTAAAATTGCAATGCTATTCGTTGTAATGAAGAGCACGTGTCACAATTTCGACATAATTTTCTTTCGACTTTCAATATTTTCATCGATGACAAGTGACATGTCTTCTATACTCATATATCGCCCCTCATGCTATTGTATCTTATCATTTGTATTTCTCACTCCTTAAATTTAATTTTAACATGGTTAATTTTTTAGTAGACGGCAAAGATTTTACAAGTTTAATAACTCTATTATTATGTCTCTCAATTTTACTTAACTATTGTGGTAAATTATTTTTAAATTTTTAAAAAAATGAGAATTTCCTGGTCAAATTATTTACTGATTATTGTATTTTGAAGCCCTTTCCTATAAAACATGAAAAATTGCATTCGTTTGAATCAATTTAATCAGTTACGTCAAGAAAAATATTCTCTTTTATCAGCAATACAAGTATTGTGTCACTAATGCTACTAAAGTGTTTTTTTTTTTTTCAATTAAAATTATGTATTGCCTTTATAGAACAAATTGTGTTTCAGCTACTCTCGTATACATAAATAAATGTGTGTGCGTGTTGATGTTTAATGCACATGTTATAATTAAAGTATGTACAACGTTGTGAACAACTCGCGATTGGCATTTTATAAATAAAAATTTTATATTAAAATTAAAATAAAATTATTTATATATATATTCTCTTTATAAGAAAAACATGATACAATTAAAAAACGAAAAAAAAACGAATATATTATTGTGAAACACTGCGTGAACGCTTATATATATATATATATATATATATATATATATATATATATATATATCTTTTGTATAACTCATACTTTGTAGTTAAGGACTATTAAAAATAAAATTAATTACTTATAACTCAGTTGAAAATTTTGATTAATTTAGATGCAAAATACCGTATTTCCTTCAACAAAAAAACAAGTTTTGTGTATGTTTTTTATTTGAGGTTCAATGGTAATTACTAATTGTACGTTAATTCTTAATGAAATAATGTAAATTATAGTATGAAGCAGTTCACCTGTTGTATACATTATAAGTAATAAAAATATTGCATAATTCAAAATGTTTTAGAAATTTATTTTTATATATTCTTTCCCTTCTAAATTTAAACATGTATAGATATGGATATAGATTATTATTTATTAAATGATATTTTTAACTAAATGCAAAATTTGCAACTATTGAATTCTAAATAATAACTTAATAATCATATATTAAAATTATATACAAAAGACATTTATGTAGAATATAATTATTTTATTGCAATAACAAAAATCATACGATAAATAATTATGATAATGATGGATTTTGTTTTTATAACTGTATACATTGATAATTAATAATCACATTATAAATTTTATAAATGTGTTTTGTATGCCATAATTTTCTTCATAACCTCAATTTTAACTTATATAATTACAATAAATACATCATATTTTGTAAATATCGAAATTTCTTATCGAAATCGTAACGGTTGCGGAATATGCTAAGGTTCAATACCTTAATTTCATCACATTATCCTCTTAACTAAAGTACACGCGTCAGTGTATCATATCCTATCAATTTCCTATGAAATCAATAGAAATAGATGCAATATAGTGTGAAAAATCGCATCGAATTATAAAAGATGAAAAACACTAGTGCCCGTACGAAAGCGCATAAATTTCTCCATCGACAACTGGACGCTTATTAGGGCACCCAACGGTACAAATCTTTTTCCTCGATCACGCTGCTCATTTGGATGTACTGCGATTCTCCAATGATCTGAGAATATACTTCGGCGTCTTCACAATTTTCTTCCTTCTCAAGAACTTAAGAATAACTAACGTAGTGAAAAGAGTGAACGTTATTCTTAAATGAAAGATTAAATTGTTGATCTTGAAGGCAAGCCTAACTTCTGAATTCTCGTCGAATATCGAGTTGAGCTTCTCTTCGGGAAATGTGTACAAATGATTGACAAATCCTTTCAAGTCGACACCTCTACGGACAATAAAGAAATTTTTATGTAATATGATGATTATCTATTTCAAATTTATATTGGCTCATCTCAGCGTCGCTTGCGAATTGTCTTAATATGTAATTTGTATAAATCGTGGAGGAAAGGCAAGTTTCATTATCTATATGGGAATCAATTTAAATAAAACAGCTTGAACAACGATTTAATTTTAATAATACTTTGTGATTAAAAATAATTGCAAAAGAGACATTTTTCAAAAATATACGTACAGCAGAAATGCTTTATGCCTCGATGTAAATAATTTTGCATGTAAGGTAAAACGCCGAGCAGCAAAGGAAAATAAAAGAAATTACATAGAATTTTAATTTCTATTTTTTTTTTATTTTTTTTATTTTTTTGTTTGTTTGTTTGTTTGTTTGTTTGTATATAATAAGCTTCTGTATAAATTAAAAGCAACATTTATTTATAACGATAACGAATGATAGAAAGTGGGTGCAACTGACCTTATGATAAACGCGTACAAGATAGAAAAGGACAGCAGCGAAACGACGAAGTATGTGACTAAGATGCCAATGCCTAATTGCACTGCAGTAATCCTCAAACGGTCCTTCTTGCTTATGATAATTTTCTGATTTTTTATTTGGCAGTCTTCGGCGTTTGTTGTCGTTGCCGTCGTCGTCTTCTTCGTCGGTGTCGTCGTCGTCTTCTTCGTCGGTGTCGTCGTCGTCGTCGTCGTCGTCGTCGTCGTCGTCGTCGTCAGCGTTGGCCTCGTTGTCGTCGAATAGAAGCGAGCAGATTTAAAAAGACCTGTACCATCAAACATTAAAGCGTATATTTTTCTGAACTTCGTACGGATTAATGCATTTTTATAGAATTCTATGATCTTATGGCCATCGATTCTAAACATTAATAAACACCGTAATAATAAATTTATAAATTACAAATTGCTAAATAAAATTTGTAATAAAATATTACTATCATTGCTCGATAGCTTATGTAATAAATTTCGACTTATGCAATTCAAAGTACAATGGTTGAAATGTAATTTAATAACAACATGTATTACAAATATTATATTTCCTAGTACATAATGAATTATGGATTGATAATTATATCAATCAAAATACCAAAGCCTTGTTTTGTGTTGTAACAAATTTCTAATATGTTAAAATTTATATAATTCGTCATTACTTATTACACCATTGAAACACTCCAACACTAATCCGGACTCAATATTCGAAAAGATGTTAAAAAATTTCAATTATATTTTCCCTTATCTACAATAATTATTTTATAAATCATTATAATGTAAAATTAATACTAAAATGACAAGAAGAACAACAACGACAAAAAAAAACAAAATAAAAATAAATCTTTAAAAGTTGTTGGTAACAAATCAGATAAACTCCATAATAATTATATATATCATTATATAATGGGGATATTTGCACTTATAATAATCAATGTTGCGCGAAAACAATGTGTTAAACATTTATTATTGTTAATTTATATATTAGTGTTGTGTTGTCCCTTTCAAAAATTCAGAAACAGGCAAAAAAATATTTATTTGAAATTCATTTTGGTTATTTAGAGCATAATTATTTATAAATTCTATTATTCTATAAATATTGCTAAACAACGAGTTGAACGTAATAAAATATACTTTAAATTTCTTTAATCAATGTATGTATAATCATATTACATGTAATATTTATATTTTTGTTCTTATTAGTACGATTTAAGTTCAAATAAATATTCCTAATTTTTATTTTTTCTTACAAAAAAAGAGAATAACAACTAATCTTTTAGCGAATAAATTATATAATAATAATTGAATTGTACCGGTTAATTTATAGTATTTTTTATGAACTGCAGAATGTAAAATTAGATAATATTTATATTTTCATATTTATATTTAGAAATTATCATTGGTTAGACTATAATAATTTGCCATTTATAAAAGCATATTAATAATATATGCAATTCTTAAATTATGCCATTTTATATAACAAAGTCGGGATTATTTAATATAATTATTAATGATTAGTACATTAATAAGCAAAGAATTTATAGTATTAATAGAAATAAAGTATTTCCAAATCTGAGCGTCTGAATAAAGAGGATTTCATCGTCGACTATGAATAAATTTTCTTTTTTCTTTCGAGAATTTCGAGAATGGTAGAATATAGATATAAATTTCTGGACAGTAAGTTCAAAATTTAGCATTAAAATATAATGTACAGAACATAAACAGTTTTTAATCAAAATATGAAGAATCTAAATACTGTCGATACCAAGGATATATTAATAATTCGGGCAAATGAAATAATAATATTGCAATATTTATGTCTTTTTCAAATGTAACATTATCGCGAAAACAAATAACTTGGAGCTTAAATAAATTTCAAAGTATCTTTAGAATCATTGCTTTGAGATAAAAAATGACAAAATGCTTTGTCTCCAAATCTGTATCGAAAAAAATAAAATAAAAAGCACTGTATTTATAAATAATAATACAATTTTTAAATCGAATGCCGGAGTTTGTATTATTATTGAAAAGAAAAAAAAAAGAAAAAGTTCTTTCTAGTGTAGAAATTGGACCAACCTCACTGCTCATACTTGTAAGCATTCCCATCGATTCTTTACTTGCATTATCAGGAGAAACGAAGATGAAATATTTTAATAATGGCCCCTATTGAATTATTAAAAGAATCTCTGTCATCGTGTCGACTCAAGAGGAGATATTCATTAAACATCAACAGACGGTACGAACGACAACGCGAAGAGTCTCCTTACACACAATTACCCTGTTGTAAAACAATATTCATATATTTATTTATTATTATGATACAATGACGATCGCCTATCATTGCACCCAACTGGCTCGGTGCGCTAATTTTCTAATCGTTCTAACCGTTTAGGATATCGGACGTTGCCTTGGCACGATAAACGATATCATGAGATCCATGTGTGTCCTTGGCGTGATACTTGTCCATTCGGGCCCACTGACTCCCCGGCGTGTTGAAGTAGGTGGAGTGTCCGCTGGCCAGGAAGGGTTCGGGCACGTTGATCTGAGCTGATCCGTAGTCGTTGCGATTGACTGCCCCGAAGAAGACGTAGGAGTCAGACACGGATCCGTAATGGACGAAGGTCGTACCAATGTCGCGTGCCCGCTCCGACTTGAAGAAGCTCGACTCTCCATTGAGGATCTTCGCTGAGTTGGCTGGGTGTCCGGGTTTGGGCACATCCGGGTAGAGTCGTTGCACGCTGCCATTGAGCTGCTTGCTGGCCCGTGAATATCGAGAATTTGAGACTGAAACGCACCAGGTCGGTTAATCGAAGAGGATTCTCCGATATCGCGAGCACGAACGTACTCGTGGACTTTGTTACTAGGGGTTGCTGTAAGCCTCTTTAGCCTTAAATTTTTGTATTACGTGTGCTGTTGTTTTGTCGATGCTCGAAGCTTAATCGACGTTCGAACTTGGAATTTCCTAAGTACGATTGTGTGGCATTGTACGCACGATTATTAGTGATGTTATAAAAAAAATCATTCTACGGAGTTTAATGTCACTATTTAATAAACTTTATCTATTTTGATACTTGGCAATGTGATAACATTGACTTTTAGGATAAGCGTTAGAATTATAATTATAATTACTGTTATAAAGTTAAATTGAAAGAATCTTTGACAATAATTTGAAATTTTTATTTTTTTCGAATCATTCCTTTTTTAACAATATTATAAAATAATTCGTAATTTTTATAAATATAATACATTATAGGTTTTTTTTTTGTATCTTAGCTTACATTGCACTTTAGCCTTTGTTGGTTGTAATTTTTAAATTTAATTTTACAAAATATGTAAGCATTGGCGTTGATATATTGTATGTACTCTGCAGAAATTACAGAATAGGAATTCCATATAAATATTTCATATAATTAACAGTAGATGAAGACGGATGATAATCAATTAATTGGACTTCTGTTAGTGTCTTTTCATGAACATTTTCTTTAATTAAATTAAAAATTCATTCGTATTAAATTTTTTACAATTTCATAAATTAATTTTATAAATACAAATGAAGTATAAATATAAGTACTTGTTGTTAATTATGTATTCTATTCTTTTAAATGTCGATGACTAATTTATGCGTTGATAAAATTTAAGGTAACGTGCAACTGTCGATATTATATTTATATATTTAAGAGTAGCTTTATAATTTACTAATTTGTATTATTATTAACAAAGCAACTTACATCTGCAATAATAAATGAATAGAAAGCTACTGTTATAATAAATAATATTTTCTATGAATGATAGATTATGTTTACAAAATGCTTAAATAGAAAGATCATAATATAATATCAAATGTAGTTTAGCTATAAAATACTTTAAAGAAATTTTGAAACTTCCATTTGCTACAACATAATCTTTACAAAAAAGATTTTTACAATTGTTTTTACATAAATAATTGTTTGTTAAGGTGATTTAGCAACTATTATTGAAAAAATGTTACGACATTTTATCACGCTTAACCAAATAGTAATATCATTAAATTTAATATAATGTTTTACCTTTTAACGAATTATTATACAAGGAATGGATTGTTGAAGTGAATTTCATACTCGAAACGATTTATCTGAAACTCTTCGCACATATTTTGTAAATGTCCAAATATCAATTTTTAGGTTAGCTTTGCCGCTCGTCATAACACTTGAGAATTAAAAATTAAATTAAAATAATCAAAAATAATTATCGTACCTGTGCATAAAGATTTCACAAATAGAGTTGTGAAATTGACCGAATGGCGGATTTGCAATAAAGCCATATTTTTCGTATAAATTACGAAATTTCCTTTTCGGCGGGTTCACCCACAGATGCAAAGTCTAATTTAATAAAAAAAAACTATTGAAATCCTAATGAACCTTAAAGAAAACTATTCCAAATCTCTCAAGCCATCTATTGATAAATAGCATGTGTAATTTCTCTTCTTTTGTAAAAATATCTAATTGTTCTGATTGTGATTCGCGACCTTCCTCTAGCAGCATGGAGTTTACCTTGCACTTGATTCATAAAACATAAACACAATAAAATAAAGAAAGAGCATCATGTAAAACATAATGTATACATCACATTACCTCGTTATGTTGTATAAATACAGTGTTTACAGCTTGCAAACACACTCGCGTATAAATAATTCTCTCTATGCGTTCTCTTTCTATGTGTTATTTAAAAATATATTTCCTCTAGCGTATGTATAAAAATTCTTATATTAACTCATTGACTTTATTAATTGGTAAACTGATGGACGTTACCACTTTATTATAATATCATTCGATTACATAAATAAGAAAGGTGATTGATAATAATTTATAAAATAGCACTTAACTCACAAAATATTCTGTATTTTATAATAAACTTATAGTATATATAAATAAGTACATAAGCGAATAGTGATTGTTGAGCTCTATTACTTTGATTATAAAGGTTGTTTAATTAAATTTCTGATACGTAGATAAGAAACTTAAACTATCTATTGTAGTTGTTAATTATTTCTACAAACATTCAAGATGTATAATTTATAAGAATTTCATTACGTACAATTTCATTATACAAGGTATATTATCTATTCATTATTTATCTTTAAATATGAAAATCTAATTATGGAAATAATTGATGATGACAATTATTCCAATTTTTGATAATTGATTTTGATAATAACTTTCGTACATAGCTTATACAATATTACAATATTCTTTGGCATATTTTTTTGACATACAAATTATTTGTTATTGTTAATTATTAAAAATAAATTAATTTATTTAATGTTAAAAACAAACATAACTTTATTAATATATAAAGCGAAATTTATACAAAATGAACAGGAAATTGAGGACAATTCAATGTGAATGCTCAATCGGTCCGATAAATTTTCGCAATTATAAAAAGTAGTTATAAGAAATGTTCTAATCTGTTGAAAACTAAGTATTTTCGAGAAAACGTGGAAATCAACTTCGAAGTCAAACCAAAGTTCAAATTCAAATTTGTGTTTTACCGATATCTTTTGCGTCACCGCATTCCGTCGTACGTCTCCATTGAAAGACATCCATTTAGGAAAACAATATAAATTATTCTTCGAGTATCTAAAAATAGTCTTATATACAGTTACTTGGGACTTTGTTTAGTCGTTGGGTGAATATCCATATGCTAGTTATCGAATCTCATCTCTCAATTTTTTTCTCTTATTTTTTGTTTGAATTTTTTTCTTTTAACATAATCAAATTGTTTACAAATTTACTATGCGCTAGATTGTACGTTAATATGGTACAAGCTTTTAAACTATTTTAAAATATTTCGATGTAAAATCAAATGTCTAAAATATATAAAAGATGCGTTTAATTACAGGTTTTTGTGAGTTCAAATATCGAGTCAAAGTCGATTTGCCAAGCATTGCTAAAAATTTTAACGATATGTTATGTTAGCGTTTGAGCATTACATATGTACATAATCGCTAACAATTGCGAACAATAATATTGAAATTATAATACATGACGTTGAAAATTTTTACTTTTGTCTCTTTAAACTTTATACATCAAGAGTATAAGCTAGACATTTATGTTACAGAAAAGTATCGAATAAAAATAAATTAATGAAATATTAATAATCGAGCTGGAATATTAAAAAGAAATTATCGTTAATTTACGACGATGTCAATATAAATCCGTAATTTTTTCATAAAGAGAAGTGATTAGTGAAAAGTAAAACATTTGAGTTTTTCATTTGCATGCATAATTAGAGTGGTCCTTTATTGATAAGGATAAGGTATAAAATATATGACTAATTCTACTATTTTATAACATTTATTTTTTACTGTTATTATTTATATATTATATGACAATCGATAAACGATTTAACTTTGCTTTATACGAGTTATATTTTTTTATTGTCTTCCATCAATTTAAGAGTAATAAATGTGTGTAAATACATTTTATCTATACGATTTTCAATATAAATTTTCAATGTTTTACAATACGAAAGCATATATATATATATATATATGTGTGTGTGTGTGTGTGTGTGTGTGTGTGTGTGTGGAGGCATGTAGAGATTTATATTTGTAACTTAGTGTGAGGGAATGTTATAAAGGGAGGCAATTAATGTATAAACGATATAACGTTAAAGTTTTTCGTACAATTACTGAATAAAGTACGAAGATTATGAGATGGTAATTTTAATGGAAAGATCATTGTGGTCACAGTCAATACCTCATAGTCTCATTGTAAATTGTAATGGCAGAGTATGGATAGGTGCAATTTTAGCCATATATATCGTCATTTTGAAATGTGATATCTTGAGAAGATATATTATTACAGACCTGTAATGAAGTAGGATTGAGACGACATGGACGATTGGTGATACTGCTTGTATTACAGTGTCGTTATCCGTTTTAAGAGAGTTTTTAGCGACGATCGCGTACTTCGTATGATTACGTTGTTCGTTTTGAAAATGAGCGACCTTTTCGAAAGCGATGCCTCATGACTATATGCTGAATTTGCCACGACATATTAAAATGGCAAAACATTCGTTGGAAAGGCGATATTGTTACAAACATAGATTTACAAATTCTACAATATTTTCCGTAGAGAAGGTAAGGTTGCAAATTATTTATACAATTTTTTATAATTTTTATCATATTTAAAATTGTTTATAGTTTTTACACAAAAAAATATATGAATGAATATTATCGACGGACAAATGAACGTCTCAAACTTCGTACCGAAGCTATAATTGCGTGCCAACGTTCGTCTCAACTTAGTATTGAGGATCTTCGCTGAGTTGGCTGGGTGTCCGGGTTTGGGCACATCCGGGTAGAGTCGTTGCACGCTGCCATTGAGCTGCTTGCTGGCCCGTGAATATCGAGAATTTGAGACTGAAACGCACCAGGTCGGTTAATCGAAGAGGATTCTCCGATATCGCGAGCACGAACGTACTCGTGGACTTTGTTACTAGGGGTTGCTGTAAGCCTCTTTAGCCTTAAATTTTTGTATTACGTGTGCTGTTGTTTTGTCGATGCTCGAAGCTTAATCGACGTTCGAACTTGGAATTTCCTAAGTACGATTGTGTGGCATTGTACGCACGATTATTAGTGATGTTATAAAAAAAATCATTCTACGGAGTTTAATGTCACTATTTAATAAACTTTATCTATTTTGATACTTGGCAATGTGATAACATTGACTTTTAGGATAAGCGTTAGAATTATAATTATAATTACTGTTATAAAGTTAAATTGAAAGAATCTTTGACAATAATTTGAAATTTTTATTTTTTTCGAATCATTCCTTTTTTAACAATATTATAAAATAATTCGTAATTTTTATAAATATAATACATTATAGGTTTTTTTTTTGTATCTTAGCTTACATTGCACTTTAGCCTTTGTTGGTTGTAATTTTTAAATTTAATTTTACAAAATATGTAAGCATTGGCGTTGATATATTGTATGTACTCTGCAGAAATTACAGAATAGGAATTCCATATAAATATTTCATATAATTAACAGTAGATGAAGACGGATGATAATCAATTAATTGGACTTCTGTTAGTGTCTTTTCATGAACATTTTCTTTAATTAAATTAAAAATTCATTCGTATTAAATTTTTTACAATTTCATAAATTAATTTTATAAATACAAATGAAGTATAAATATAAGTACTTGTTGTTAATTATGTATTCTATTCTTTTAAATGTCGATGACTAATTTATGCGTTGATAAAATTTAAGGTAACGTGCAACTGTCGATATTATATTTATATATTTAAGAGTAGCTTTATAATTTACTAATTTGTATTATTATTAACAAAGCAACTTACATCTGCAATAATAAATGAATAGAAAGCTACTGTTATAATAAATAATATTTTCTATGAATGATAGATTATGTTTACAAAATGCTTAAATAGAAAGATCATAATATAATATCAAATGTAGTTTAGCTATAAAATACTTTAAAGAAATTTTGAAACTTCCATTTGCTACAACATAATCTTTACAAAAAAGATTTTTACAATTGTTTTTACATAAATAATTGTTTGTTAAGGTGATTTAGCAACTATTATTGAAAAAATGTTACGACATTTTATCACGCTTAACCAAATAGTAATATCATTAAATTTAATATAATGTTTTACCTTTTAACGAATTATTATACAAGGAATGGATTGTTGAAGTGAATTTCATACTCGAAACGATTTATCTGAAACTCTTCGCACATATTTTGTAAATGTCCAAATATCAATTTTTAGGTTAGCTTTGCCGCTCGTCATAACACTTGAGAATTAAAAATTAAATTAAAATAATCAAAAATAATTATCGTACCTGTGCATAAAGATTTCACAAATAGAGTTGTGAAATTGACCGAATGGCGGATTTACAATAAACTTTTCGTATAAATTTAGTTATTATCTATTGGGAAAAAAATAAACAAAAAAAGAAAAAACAAAAATGAAAGAATCACAGATACGTTCGTAATGAATAAATCGTTACTTATCTCTCGTTATATCTCCGTCACTTCTGATTTCAATATATAAATGTTTATCGTCTTAAAACTTGTTTTTCTCAATCAATTTTATATAATAATTTACGGCTCACTCGATCAACGATTAGTCTCGCTATTTACCATTCGATCGTTATTAAGAATCATTATTAAGCTCGAAAATTCACAAAGATCTAAACTTAAATTGCCCATGCCGATAATGAAAAATGTTTTTAGGCGACTTTATCATAGTCGCTAAGTATTTTTACTCTCATCTCTCTCTCTCTCTCTCTCTCTCTCTCTCTCAATTTATTTGGCACGAATTATTTGCACTTCACGTGTGGATGGGGAGGCAATAATAAAATCTTAATTAATTGCAAATTCCGTGAGGTCGGTTAAGCATCAAACAGCATTCCGTCACATTAATTACAGAGATCTATCATCTATCGCTTAACTAACAATATCATTAA